CATTTTGCAGCAGTCATAAAACACATCACATATAAAAATGTAAAATAAATGGCAAAGGATATTTACAAGCAAATAGGCAGTTTCATAGTTCAAGTGCAATTAATTCAACATTTTGTTAAGTTGGATAATTGAATTATGAATAAAAGAATACTGGGACCATTATTTTTTTAGTTAGGGTGTACCACACAGAAGGTGGGTTAGGGTGAACCACACAAAAGGTGGGTTAGGGTGAGGGCTGCTGCCACACAGGGTGCGTTAGGGTGAGGGCAGCTATCACACAGGGTGCGTTAGGGCTTCTACCAAGGAAAGGGTAGGTTAGACTGGGGTTAGGGCTGCTACCAAGGAAAGGGTGGGTGAGGGGATAGGGTTTTGGCATAAAGCCCCAGTAGAATATAATGACAAACTCTAGTCTGAAGTTGTAGACTGTAAGGACAGGTTGGTGGTAGACTGTAAGGACATCCAAGATGGCGTAGCAGTGCGGTTGTGTTTTCTGTAGTGTCCTTGTGTAAATAGCCATTATTATTTTTAATTTTTTGTCTTTTGTATATATTTTACTTTTCATTCTTTAACTAAATATACTTTCCTGCAAACCGCCTCACCCAACGTGGAAAGGATTCTATTATTTCTTTAATTTTTATCAAGAACCTGAAGCTGAAACTAGTCTAGCTGCAACCGAATGGCTACTTGCTATTAGCCACCGTTAGCGTCTTCACCATTGTCCGTGGCCTGCACTACCCGCCAGCCAGCACTAGCTCTAGCCTGGACAATTTGTCGGCCAGTCTGCACAGCGTGCTATCGACCCAGAGCATATCGGATTTTCTGCCGGAATCACTGGTCCCTAGCGCCGGATCATCGCAACCAGCTAGCTGCAACCGAATGGCTGTTGTCGTTGGCTAATTACCATTGCCCTTTAGCAAGCACCAGTTAGCCTTGAGCTAGCTTCGAGCCAGGCCCATCTCCCGGCTATCTACCTCTCTGTCAACCGGACTGGACCTCCTAGTGTTGACACGGAGCCCCGCCGATCCAACACGACTGGTCTGCCGACAAAATACTGTGGTTTCAACAGGCTTCCCGTTACGACGTCGACCACGAAGATCCATCTGCTAGCCTCGGCCCGCTAGCACACGCAAGCTGTGGCCTCTTGCTCGCCAGTGCTGTAGCAGCCCCTGAACTACCTCCGAACTCTCCTATTGCTGTTCACCGGACCTTACGATAACTCAGCTATACAGCTGATGCCTGCTGGACTGGTCCTTTATACGGTACCCCATCCTGTTTAGCCTCAGCCCAAACTGTGTCGCCATTACCAGCTGTTGTCTTAGCTCTCTCGAATAACACCTGTGATTGCTTTATGTCTCTCTCCCATGTCAATATGGTTTGCTTATTGCTGTTTCGGTTATTTCTTATTGTACTATCTCACTGTAGATCCCCCAGCCCAGCTCAACCTGCCATAGATGGCTCCTTTGTCCCACCCTCCATACACGCGGAGACAGACTCAATCGGTGCCTCCAGTGATGCTATCTCTTTCGTTGTTACCCAGCGCTTAGGTTTACCTCCACTGTACTCATATCCTTCCATATCCTTGTCTGTACATAATGCCCTGAATCTATTCTACAACGCCCCTTTTTGTCTCTGTACCCAACAGACTAGAAGACCAGTTTTTAAAGCCTTTAGCCGTATCCTTATTCTACTCCTCTGTTCCTCTGGTGATGTAGGTTAACCCAGGCCCTGTAGCCCCCAGTATCTCTCCTACTCCCCAGGCGTTATCATTTGTTGACTTCTGTAACCGTAAAAGCCTTGGTTTCTTGCACGTTAACATCCGAAACCTCCTCCCTAAGTTTGAGTTATTCACTGCGTTAGCACACTCCGCCAACCCTGATGTTCTAGCAGTGTCTGAATCCTGGCTTAGGAAGGCCACCAAAAATTCAGAAATGTCCATCCCCAACTACATTTTCCGTATCGATAGAACTGCCAAAGGGGGTGGGGTTGCAATCTACTGTAGAGAGAGCCTGCAGAGCTCAATCATACTATCCAGGTCTGTGCCCAAACAGTTTGAGCTTCTACTTCTAAAAATCCACCTTTCCAGAAATAAGTCTCTCACTGTTGCCGCTTGCTACAGACCCCCCTCAGCCCCCAGCTGTGCCCTGGACACCATATGTGAATTGATTTCCCTCCCATCTATCCTCAGAGTTTGTACTGCTTGGTGACCTAAACTGGGATATGCTTAACACCCCGGCCAACCTACAATCTAAACTAGATGTCCTCAATCTCACACAAATGATCAACAAACCTACCAGGTACAACCCTAAATCTGTGAACATGGGCACCCTCATAGATATCATCCTGACAAATTTACCCTCTAAATACACCTCCGCTGTCTTCAACCAGGATCTCAGCGATCACTGCCTTATTGCCTGCGTCCGTAATGGGTCTGAGGTCAAACGACCACCCCTCATCACTGTCAAACGCTCCCTAAAACACTTTAGCGAGCAGGCCTTTCTAATTGCCTGGCCCGGGTATCCTGGATGGATATTGACCTCATTCCGTCAGTAGAGGATTCCTGGTTGTTCTTTAAAAGTGCTTTCCTGTAGCACTAACTCCAAATAGTTTTGGGACACTGTAAAGTCCATGGAGAATAAGAGCACCTCCTCCCAACTGCCCACTGCACTGAGGCAAGGAAACACTGTCACCACCGATAAATCTACAATAATTGAGAATTTCAACAAGCATTATGCTATGGCTGGCCATGCTTTCCACCTGGCTACCACTACCCCGGCCACCAGCACTGTACCCTCTGCTGCAACTTGCCCATGCCCCCCCCCCCCCCCCCCCCGCTTCTCCTTCACACAAATTCAGACAGCTGATGTTCTGAAAGAGCTGAAGAATCTGGACCCCTACAAATCAGCTGGGCTAGACAATCTGGACACTTTCTAAAATTAGCCGCCAAAATTGTTTGCAACCCCTATTACTAGCCTGTTCAACCTCTCTTTCGTAACGTCTGAGATCCCCAGAGATTAGAAAGCTGCCGCGGTCATCCCCCTCTTCAAAGAGGGTGACACTCTAGATCCAAACTGTTACAGACCTATATCCAGCCTTTCTAAAGTATTTGAAAGCCAAGGTAAACAGATCACCGACGATTTCGAATCCCACCGTACCTTCTCCGCTATGCAATCCGGTTTCCGAGCTGGTCATGGGTGCACCTCAGCCACGCTCAAGGTCCTAAACGATATTATAACCGCGATCGATAAAAGACAGTACTGCGCAGCCGTCTTCATCGACCTGGCCAAGGCTTTCGACTCTGTCAACCACCACATTCTTATTGGCAGACTAAATAGCCTTGGTTTCTCAAATGTCTGCCTCGCCTGGTTCACCAACTACTTCTCAGATAGAGTTCAATGTGTCAAATCGGAGGGCCTGTTGTCTGGACCTCTGGTAGTCTCAATGGGGGTGCCACAGGGTTAAATTCTCGGGCCAACTCTATTCTCTGTGTATATCAATGATGTCGCTCTTGCTGCTGGTGACGCTCGGATCCACCTCTATGCGGACGACACCATTTTGTATACATCTGGCCCTTCATTGGACACTGTGTTAACAAACCTCCAAACGAGCTTCAATGCCATACAACACTCCTTCCGTAGCCTCCAACTGCTCTTAAACACTAGTAAAACTAAATGCATGCTCTTCAACCGAACGCTGCTTGCACCCGCCCACCCAACTAGAATCACCACTCTCGGCGGGTCTGACCTAGAGTATGTGGACAACTACAAATACCTAGGTGTCTGGTTAGACTGTAAACTCTCCTTCCAGACTCACATTAAGCATCTCCAATCAATAGTTACATCTAGAATCGGCTTCCTATTCCGCAACAAAGCCTCCTTCACTCACGCTGCCAAACATGCCCTCGTAAAACTGACTATCCTACCGATCCTTGACTTCGGCGATGTCATTTACAAAATAGCCTCCAACACTCTACTCAGCAAATTGGATGTAGTCTATCACAGTGCCATCCATTTTGTCACCAAAGCCCCATATACTACCCACCATTGTGACCTGTACACTCTTGTTGGCTGGTCCTCACTACATATTCGTCGCCAAACCCACTGGCTCCATGTCATCTATAAATCACTGCTAGGCAAATCCCCGTCTTATCTTAGCTCACTGGTCACCATAGCAACACCCAACCATAATCTGCGCTCCAGCAGGTATATCTCACTGGTCATCCCCAAAGCCAACACCACTTTTGGCCGCCATTCCTTCCAGTTCTCTGCTGCCAATGACTGGAACGAACTGCAAAAATCTCTGAAGCTGGAGACACTTATCTCCCTCACTAACTTTAAGCATCAGTTGTCAGAGCACCTTACCGATCACTGCACCTGTACACAGCCCATCTGAAATTAGCCCACCCAACTACCTCATCCCCATATTGTTATTTATTTTGCTAATTTGCACCCCAGTATCTCTATTTGCACATCTTTTGCAAATCCTATCATTCCAGTGTTAATACGAAATTGTAATTTCTTTGCACTATTGCCTATTTATTGCTTTACCTCCATAACTTGCTACATTTGCACACACTGTATATATATTTTCTGTTGTATTTTTGACTTTATGTTTTGTTTACCCCATATGTAACTCTGTTGTTTTTATCGCACTGCTTTGCTTTATCTTGGCCAGGTCGCAGTTGTAAATGAGAACTTGTTCTCAACTGGCTTACCTGGTTAAATAAAGGTGAAATAAATAATAAAGGACAGGTCGGTGGTAGACTGATAGCGGTAGGCAACCCTGTTCCTGGAGCGCCGCAGGTACTGCAGGATTTTGTCCCAACTGAGTTAATTGATCAGTTCAGTGATGGCCTAAATTCAACACACCTGGTCTTCCCAGGTTGGTGCCTGTTGCCCTCCAGGACCAGGGTTGCCTACCCCTGATGACAGTACCTGTTGCCTACCCAGGACCAGGGTTGCCTACCCCTGATGTAGGCTAATCATTCTTTCTCTCCCAGGTTGATGTTCTGGTCAGAGGTTGGTAACGATCCCCAGATAGAGCGGTCAGGGATGGACGGCTCTGAGAGGAAGGTGGTGGTGACTCGTGGTCTCAGCTGGCCAGTCAGTCTCTCTGTGGACACTCTCACTGACCGAATCTACTGGGCCGACGAAAAACTACAGTGCATCGGCTCTGTATCCCTGGAAGGACACAATGTCAGGGTAACACTGCAGCTAACATTAATTATGGTTATAGACTTTACAGTAAACATGGAATGTCTAGATATGAACTTTATAGTAAACATGGAATCTGGTTAATTAAGATGTTTCTTTTTGCTCTTGTCTGTCTTTACCAAAGCTTCTGCAGATGACTGAAATGCCCAGTCCCTTCTCTGTAGTGGTCTTCAATGACATGGTCTACTGGTCTGACACCAGGAGGAGAACTATTCAAGTAGCCCACAAGAACACTGGCAAGAACCGCAAGGTTTTACTCAAAAGGCCTGGACAGCCTTTTGGCCTCAGGGTAAGGATTTATAAGAGGGTTAGGATAAGGGCACTTCAAGTTCATGGGTTCAGTCCTTATAATCAGTTGTAGTGGTCATGATGTTGACCTTGTCACTGCCCTTCTCTCCCTTGGTCTCTTTCCTTCTAACTGTCTCGTTCCTGGTCTCTATGTCACTTGCGCTCGCGCGGTGTCTCGTGCGCGGTCTCTCTCTCTCTGTCTCTCTCTCTCTCTCTCTGTCTCTTTGTCTCTCTCTGTGTGTGTGTGTGTGTATAGATGATGCACCCCCTCATGCAGGCCAACGTGTCCAGCCCCTGTGAGAAGCTCCAGTGTTCAGACCTCTGTCTCTTGGCTCCAGGGCTATCTACGGGGCCCAAGGCTGTGTGTCGATGCGCAGCAGGGCTACTTCTGGCTGGGGACGGCCTCACCTGCTCCGCCCTTGTAGACACCACCTTCCTCCTGCTCCTCTCTCCTACTGCAGTCACACAGGTATGTGCCTCTGTCCTACTGCAGTCAGTCATGTAGGACAGTATATTGGTCAAACTGTGATTTGACCTCCACCTATAGCTGGCTGTTGGTCAGACAGGATCCACCTATAGCTGGCTGTTGATCAGACAGGATCCACCTATAGCTGGCTGTTGATCAGACAGGATCCACCTATAGCTGGCTGTTGATCAGACAGGATCCACCTATAGCTGGCTGTTGATCAGACAGGATCCACCTATAGCTGGCTGTTGATCAGACAGGATCCACCTATAGCTGGCTGTTGGTCAGACAGGATCCACCTATAGCTGGCTGTTGGTCAGACAGTGATGTTGCCTCCAGCTATTTATGAATCTAGATTTTTCTACTCTTGTATTTCTGTTTAGATATACCTTAGCACCATGCATAATGGTGTGGGTTTGACGCGGTGGCCTGAGCACCATGTATTGTCTCTGCCGGGGGTGCACCAGGCTTCAGGGCTGGATTTGGCTGTACAGGACAGGACATTATACCTGGCTGATGCTGCCCAGGGCTCAGTGGGTCTCCTGAAACTGAGTAGCTCAGGGCTGACACCAGGCAGCAGAGTCCTGAATCTCCCGGACGATACGGTGACGGCTCTGGCTGTAGACTGGGTAACACTCAACCTGTACTGGAGTAGCAGCAAGCAGCCTGACCTACATGTCACCACCAGCAGGGGGCAGCACACTGCACTTCTGCTCCAACCAGGAGTCCAGGGAACCACCTCCGTCGCCCTGCACCCCCCCTCAGGACGACTGTGCTTCACGGCCTTGGGCCAGGTGAATGTGAGGAGCCTGCCTCAGGTGGACTGTGCCTTCATGGATGGACGCAGTCAGAAGCTGCTCTGGAGGAAAGCTGTGATGCCAACCTCCCTTCTGTTCTCCAACAAGGGCACTCAGCTGTATTGGGCTGACATAGGTGAGGTTATAACCGGTACTGGGCTGACATAGGTGAGGTTATAACCGGTACTGGGCTGACATAGGTGAGGTTATAACCGGTACTGGGCTGACATAGGTGAGGTTATAACCGGTACTGGGCTGACATAGGTGAGGTTATAACCGGTACTGGGCTGACATAGGTGAGGTTATAACCGGTACTGGGCTGACATAGGTGAGGTTATAACCGGTACTGGGCTGACATAGGTGAGGTTATAACCGGTACTGGGCTGACATAGGTGAGGTTATAACCGGTACTGGGCTGACATAGGTGAGGTTATAACCGGTACTGGGCTGACATCGGTGAGAGATTATGACCTGTAATGGGCTGATTTATGTGAAAGATTTAAACTTGTACTGGGCTGACATCTTTCAGATATTATAACCTGTACTGACTGGGCCAACCTAGATTATTGTGGCCCATTATAAGCTATGTGGAATACCTCATTGAGATGAATTGTTTTCACCAGGCCTGCTATCCTCAGTGAAAACATGTCCCTTGTTGCAGGTGCTGGAGTGATCGGCTCCATTCTTCTGGATGGTTCTGGATATAAACAGTTTAAAGCAGGTCCCGGCCTCATCTCCTTCACACGAGCTGAGAACATCCTCCTGTGGAGCACCCTGGACAACGGTATGGTACAGCCCTACACGACTAATCCACACCGTACACCCCTAAGCCCTAGGAAGTCTGAGCGGTTGTATGAAACCAATCGGTACGTCAAGCAAAGCTCTTAACCTTGCCAGCCCGCTCTTCATTTCTATTAAATTCAACTCGCAAGAAGTTTGGCGTCTGAACTGTGCGTAACCGACCTGACACCCCTAATTCTAACCTTGACAACGGTACAGCCCCACACTCCTAACCCTTTAATTCCGTAAAATGAGTGTGGAAGAGATGAGAAATTGATTGTCTATCAACAATGACAAGCCACTGGGGTCTGACAACTTGGATGGGAAATTACTGAGGATAATAGCGGACGATATTGCCACTCTTATTTGCCATATCTTAAATTTAAACCTACTAGAAAGTGTGTGCCCTCAAGCCTGGAATTAAGCAAAAGTCACTCCGCTACCTAGGAATAGTAAAGCCCCCTTTACTGGCTCAAATAGCCGACCAATCAGCCTGTTACCAACCCATAGTAAACCTTTGGAAAAAATTGTTTGACCAGATACAATGCTATTTTACAGTAAACAAATTGACAACAGACTTTCAACACGCTTATAGGGAAGGACATTCAACAAGCAGAGCACGTACACAAATGACTGACTAGCTGAGAGAAACTGATGATAAAAAGACTGTGGGGGCTGTTTTGATAGACGTCAGTGCGACTTTTGACATTATTGATCATAGTCTGCTGATGGAAAAACTTGTTATGGCTTTACACCCCCTGCTATATTGTGGATAAAGAGTTACCTGTCTAACAGAACACAGAGGGTGTTCTTTAATGGAAGCCTCTCCAACATAATCCAGGTAGAATCAGGAATTCCCCAGGGCAGCTGTCTAGGCCCCTTACTCTATTAAATCTTTACTAACAACATGCTTTGAGTAAAGCCAGTGTGTCTATGTATGCGGATGACTCAACACTATACACGTCAGCTACTACAGTGACTGAAATGACTGCAACACTTAACAAAGAGCTGCAGTTAGTTTCAGAATGGGTGGCAAGGAATACATTAGTCCTAAATATTTCCACTGTGTTCTTGGGGACCTTCAGTGTTGCAGAAATATTTTGGTACCCTTCCCCGGATCTGTGCCTCGACACAATTCTGTCTCGGAGCTCCTCAGACAATTCCTTCGACCTCATGGCTTGATTTTTGCTCTGACATGCACTGTCAACTGTGGGACCTTTTATGTAGACAGGTGTGCCTTTCCAAATCATGTCCAATCGAAAAAGTCAAGGGGTCTGAATACTTTCTGAATGCACTTGATCTACAATACAACATGTATAATACCACCATATTACAATGTACGTGTGTGTGCGTATCTCTTCAGTCCCTGCTGTTCCATAAGGTGTTTTAATCTGATTCTACAGCTTGTATCAGTTACCTGATGTGGAATAGAGTTCCATTTAGTTATGGCTCTATGAAGTACTGTCTACCTCCCATAGTCTGTTCTGGATTGTGAAGAGACCTCTGGTGGCATGTCTTGTGGGGTATGCATGGGTGTCCGAGCTGTGCTAGTAGTTTTAAACAGACATCTCGGTGCATTCAGCTTGTCAACACTTCTTCCAAAAACAAGTAGTGATGAAGTCAATCTCTCCTCTACTTTGAGCCATGAGAGATTGACATGCATATTATTGTTAGCTCTTCGTGTACATCCAAGGGCCAGCCATGCTGACCTGTTCTGAGCCAATTGTAATTTTCCGAGGTCCTCCTTTGTGGCACCTGACCACACGACTGAACAGTAGTCCAGGTGTGACAACACTGGGCCTGTAGGACTTGCCTTGTTGATAGTGCTGTTAAGAAGGCAGAGCAGCGCTTCATTATAGACAGACTTCTCCCCATCTTAGCTACTGTTGTATCAATATGTTTTGACCATGACAGTTTACAATCCAGGGTTACTCCAAGTAGTTTAGTCACCTCAACTTGCTCAATTTCCACATTATTCATTACAAGATTTAGTTGAGGTTTAGGTGAATGATTTGTACCAAATACAATGCTTTTAGTTTTTGACATATGTAGGACTAACTTATTCCTTGCCACCCATTCTGAAACTAACTGCAGCTCTTTAAGTGTTGCAGTCATTTGTCACTGTAGTAGCTGACGTGTTGAGTCATCGGCATACATGGACACACTGGCTTTACTTTGAAAAAAGTGGCCTAGACAGCTGCCCTGGCGAATGCCTGATTCTATCTGGATTATGTTGGAGGGTCTTCCATTAAATAACACCCTCTGTGTTTTGTTAGACAGGTAACTAGACTGACTCTCTGTTGTAGATGTAATTCGATTCTGTCTCTGTAGATGTGACTAGACTGGATCTCTCTCTGTTGTGTCTCTGATGTGGCTCTGTTGATGTCTCTGTTGATGTGGCTCTGTCTCTGTTGATGTGGCTCTGTCTCTGTTGATGTGGTTCTGTCTCTGATGTGGCTCTGTTGATGTGGCTCTGTCTCTGTTGATGTGGCTCTGTCTCTGTTGATGTGTCTCTGTTGATGTGTCTCTGTTGATGTGGCTCTGTCTCTGATGTGGCTCTGTCTCTGATGTGGCTCTGTCTCTGATGTGGCTCTGTCTCTGATGTGGCTCTGTCTCTGTTGTGGCTCTGTCTCTGTTGTGGCTCTGTCTCTGTTGTGGCTCTGTCTCTGTTGTGGCTCTGTCTCTGTTGTGGCTCTGTCTCTGTTGATGTGTCTCTGTTGATGTGGCTCTGTTGATGTGGCTCTGTTGATGTGGCTCTGTCTCTGTTGATGTGGCTCTGTCTCTGTTGATGTGGCTCTGTCTCTGTTGATGTGGCTCTGTCTCTGTTGATGTGGCTCTGTCTCTGTTGATGTGGCTCTGTCTCTGTTGATGTGGCTCTGTCTCTGTTGATGTGTCTCTGTTGATGTGTCTCTGTCTCTGTTGATGTGGTTCTGTGTCTCTGTTGATGTGGCTCTGTCTCTGTTGATGTGGCTCTGTCTCTGTTGATGTGGCTCTGTCTCTGTTGATGTGGCTCTGTCTCTGTGTCTCTGTTGATGTGGCTCTGTCTCTGTTGATGTGGTTCTGTGTCTCTGTTGATGTCTCTGTGGCTCTGTCTCTGTTGATGTGGCTCTGTTGATGTGTCTCTGTTGATGTCTCTGTTGATGTGGCTCTCTGTTGATGTGGCTAGACTGGTTCTGTCTCTGTTGATGTGTCTCTGTTGATGTGGCTCTGTCTCTGTTGATGTGGCTCTGTCTCTGTTGATGTCTCTGTGGCTCTGTCTCTGTTGATGTGGCTCTGTTGATGTGTCTCTGTTGATGTCTCTGTGGCTCTGTCTCTGTTGATGTGGCTCTGTCTCTGTTGATGTGGCTCTGTCTCTGTTGATGTGTCTCTGATGTGGCTCTGTCTCTGTTGATGTGGCTCTGTGGCTCTGTCTCTGTTGATGTGGCTCTGTTGATGTGGCTCTGTCTCTGTTGATGTGTCTCTGTTGATGTGGCTCTCTCTGTTGTAGATGTGACTAGGCTCTGGTTCAGTGATGGATTTCAGCCCAAGCAGCTGTGGTTTGAGGTCAAGACCAATGTAGTGGCACTGAGGGTTTACAGCAAGACCAGTCAGAAAGGTAAGTGTGTGTGCTGCGTCCACGACGGCCCAGTGTAAAGACCAGCTCTGCCTCCTGAGAGATTGAATAGAAGCAGAGGGATATGAGATCTGTTGAAAGACCAAGCTTGGCGTACCATGAAGGCCCAACCGGTCTCTGAAACCTGCTTCATTCAGTCCTCTCCTCTGTGATTCGATTAGGCGCTTACTGGTCTCAAATAGGACAAGCTTGTCTCACAAATGTGTGGAAAATCTGCATGAAATCTGTGGTATGATTTGACTCATGATGAAGTTCCAACTAGCCATGTGGGTCACAGTGCAGTTAGGTGAAGTTCCAACTAGCTTTGTGTGTCAGTGCCGGAAGGAACAAAACACATTCCTGTCATCCATGTTGCATCACACTGGTCCAGAGACACTAAACCAGCACCCTTCCTCTGCCTGTAGTGTATTCAGAGTTAAGTAGTGTCACATTCAGCCACCAATGCTCCTCTGTCCTGTCTCTCCCAGGAACGAACAGTTGCTCAGAGAGGAACGGAGGCTGCAGTCAGCTGTGCCTGGCCTACCCAGGGGGGCGGAGCTGCCGATGTGGACGTGGTTACCAGCCTATCGACACCACCACGTGTAGCCCTTTCCCCTCCCTCCAGTGTCCAGAGGGCAGCAGGGCCTGTAGCGACGGCAGCAGGTGCCTCCCCCTCACAAAGTTCTGCAACCACCAAACAGACTGCCTCGACCAATCAGACGAGATCAAATGTGAGTCTAACCCCAAACCCGTCTAACCTGCTTCACATAAAGAATTACAGTGAATAGACTATACCCCTGACTCAACCATAGAAATACAGTGAATAGACTATAGACAGGTTGGCTGACATTGTCACAAAAATGATGTGCGCGTCGACGTGGCCGGAAGGTGTGCGTTATGATTCAGATATCTAGTAACAATGACAAGGAGCTGCCTGATGGGGAATCGCAGGTGTCTTGTTTCAGCTCATTATATCATATTATATCTAGGAACAATGACAAGAAGCTAAAGCTGAATGTCCTGCTAAAGCTGAATTAATCTCTGTCTGGTGGAAAACAGACAACCAAGTTTTCCTCTAGGATTTTGCCTGTGCTTAGCTCGATTTCATATTTTTTTTAAATCCTGAATACACTATTACTGCACACAGTGAATCAATGCAACTTATTATGTGACTTGTTAAGCAAGTGTTTACTCATGAACTTATTTAGGCTTGCCATAACAAATGGGTTGAATACTTATTGACTGAAGACTTTTCCGCTTGTCATTTTTTATTAATTTATAAACATTTCGAAAAACATAATTCCACTTTGACACTATGGGGTATTGTGTGTCAGCCAGTGATGACAAAATCAGAATTTAATCTGTTTTATTCAGGCTGTAACAGAACAAAATGTGGAAAATGTTAAGGAGTGTGAATAATTTCTGAAGGCACTGTAATTGGGTCGTTGTATAAATAATGGGGCCAATGTGTGACATTGATCTACATTTCAAAATGGTTTGAAACAAAAATAAAGATTGTTATGCAGTTCCACATGTGTACTTAGAGGAATAAAAGTGAATATATGCAGATTAGGCCATGACTGAACTACAGACATTGGCAAGTCAAATTCAAGGACTTTCAGGGACTTTTTCAAGCACTTAATTATAGTTTTCAAGGACCTCAATGTTATAAAATAGAATAATTTATTTACAGTAGTTGTACTTAATATAGAACCCAAAAAACATGCAATAAGTAGGTCATTACCACTAAGAAGAATGCATTTTTTAAAACCTTGATTCTAAAATGTGATAATGTGGACATTGCCTGACTAAACAGATCGGATGCATGATCTTTCAGTGGCCAGTGTGGCCCTCGCAGGCACACATAATAAAGCCATGAATAGTGGTGGCATTCGTCTCAACATCAGAGTTTTTATCAGGAGAAAGTGACCAAAAACCAGTTCTTTTTTAATGGAAGGATTTGCATGGAAAGCCAAGTTGAAGCCAACATTAATGTCATCCTCATAATAACAACGTGGTTGTACTGCAACAGAGTAGCTTCAATTGAAGCCGCGGGAAACGGATCAAAAATGAAATCACAGATAATTGTAAGGGAGCAGGATTAATAATTACAAGGAAAATTTAACAAATGTCTGATTTTCAAGGTAGGTCTATTCCAATACTTGAATTTCTGAGCTCCAAGTTCCGTGTATTGTTTCAAATTGTGTGTGTAACATGGAAAACAATTTATTTGTCAGTGTTGTAGTACTCGAGACAGGTCTCGGTCTCGAGACCACATATTGAGTGTATCGGTCTTGTCTTGGTGTCGGATACATTTGTACTCGGTCTTGACTCGGTCTAGGACAGTGAGGACTCACAATTTCTTCCCGAGACCAGCTGAGTAAACAATTCATAATTATCAGCTTCCAAACAGTCAGCGCATAAAACTGCTTCGCCAGGCCAAATATATACACTGCTTTCTTGAAACATTAATATCTTAACAGCCTGTATCTATTATAGACATGTTTGATCAGTAGCGAACCTATAGACCTTCAGTGTGTGACAGGTTGGTGAACCAATAGACCTTCAGTGTGTGACAGGTTGGTGATTCTGAAAGGACAGCAACCGTAATAGCCAGCAACCGTAATAACCAGCGCACTCATGTAGGAGATTGAGCTTTATGTAAAACACAAAGGGCCAGTGGTGTAGTGGAGGGTATATGCAGGTATAAACCGTATACCCACTGTTTTTCAGTGGGCATTGCTTATAGGCACTACTTATTCCCTACTGATGCGTATCAAAGAAGTGTAGTGGAGGTATATGACTTATCAATGATGCAGTACAATAGAGAAATCAAGCTCAAAGTAGCCTACACAGCCGCAAAGCACGTGGAATATATTCACATGCACGCCGCCGCACACAGCCTAGTTTCAGCAGAATATCATCTGCAGGAGTGTGCAGCTCTCAACTGGTTTTGGCACGGAGCAGCTCTCAACTGGTTTTGGCACGGAGCAGCTCTCAACTGGTTTTGGCACGGAGCAGCTCTCAACTGGTTTTGGCACGGAGCAGCTCTCAACTGGTTTTGGCACGGAGCAGCTCTCAACTGGTTTTGGCACGGAGCAGCTCTCAACTGGTTTTGGCACGGAGCAGCTCTCAACTGGTTTTGGCACGGAGCAGCTCTCAACTGGTTTTGGCACGGAGCAGCTCTCAACTGGTTTTGGCACGGAGCAGCTCTCAACTGGTTTTGGCACGGAGCAGCTCTCAACTGGTTTTGGCACGGAGCAGCTCTCAACTGGTTTTGGCACGGAGCAGCTCTCAACTGGTTTTGGCACGGAGCAGCTCTCAACTGGTTTTGGCACGGAGCAGCTCTCAACTGGTGTTGGCACGGAGCAGCTCTCAACTGGTGTTGGCACGGAGCAGCTCTCAACTGGTTTGGGCACGGAGCAGCTCTCAACTGGTTTGGGCACGGAGCAGCTCTCAACTGGTTTGGGCACGGAGCAGCTCTCAACTGGTTTGGGCACGGAGCAGCTCTCAACTGGTTTGGGCACGGAGCAGCTCTCAACTGGTTTGGGCACGGAGCAGCTCTCAACTGGTTTGGGCACGGAGCAGCTCTCAACTGGTTTTGGCACGGAGCAGCTCTCAACTGGTTTTGGCACGGAGCAGCTCTCAACTGGTTTTGGCACGGAGTAGCTCTCAACTGGTTTTGGCACGGAGCAGCTCTCAACTGGTTTTGGCACGGAGCAGCTCACAGAAGAATGACATCCACAGCCGGTAGGGTAGGAAAGTTTTAAACTTAAATCTACCAGTAAATGCTAACTAAGGCAACAATGGATATGCAAACCAGGTATTGAAAAAGTTATATTATCAGAGGTAGACCTGATGAGCTTTGTTTGCTTTACTACAATGAGTATGTAGGACTGGCCTTTCTTCCTGTGTTATATTACGTAGAACATGGGAATCAACTGTGAAGACAGTGAATATACAAGTGAGGCGACTAGGCAGGGTGAGATCTCATGGTCAATGTGTAAAAACATTAGCACCACAACTGTCTTTATTCTTAGACTGAAACTGATAAAGCATGAACACTACTAGTACTTACTACCACACATGCCAACACCACCGTCACACAGGAGCCAGACACATTCATGCTCCTGTAGGAGGATTACCTTCAGGAGAATGTCATGGCCTGGGATAGTGAGAAGCAATTCCCTCCTACTCAGAAGACAGGGAGAGAAGAGAGAGCTCTGTCAAGCAGCCCAGTCAGAGATAGGAAATGAAGGAAGAGGAGACCAGAAGTGGCCACAGGACTTAGACCATCAATTGTGTAATTTTTCTATTTAAAAAAAATTGGGTTTTGAGAGTGAATCTCCTAAATCTTTAGGAAAACATGGGATTTTTCACACAGGGTGCCTTTCCTTGGCTGGGCAGTCTGTTAGGGAACTTTTGAGTGTACCCATTTCTCCAGGCACCACTACACCACTGACTAAGGCTGATGGAAAGACAGCAGTCACACAGCATGATGTTAAAGGATAAGCAGTCACACAGCATGATGTTAAAGGATAAGCAGTCACACAGTATGATGTTAAAGGATAAGCAGTCACACAGTATGATGTTAAAGGATAAGCAGTCACACAGTATGATGTTAAAGGATAAGCAGTCACACAGCATGATGTTAAAGGATAAGCAGTCACACAGCATGATGTTAAAGGATAAGCAGTCACACAGTATGATGTTAAAGGATAAGCAGTCACACAGCATGATGTTAAAGGATAAGCAGTCACACAGCATGATGTTAAAGGATAAGCAGTCACACAGTATGATGTTAAAGGATAAGCAGTCACACAGTATGATGTTAAAGGATAAGCAGTCACACAGTATGATGTTAAAGGATAAGCAGTCACACAGCATGATGTTAAAGGATAAGCAGTCACACAGCATGATGTTAAAGGATAAGCAGTCACACAGTATGATGTTAAAGGATAAGCAGTCACACAGCATGATGTTAAAGGATAAGCAGTCACACAGCATGATGTTAAAGGATAAGCAGTCACACAGTATGATGTTAAAGGATAAGCAGTCACACAGTATGATGTTAAAGGATAAGCAGTCACACAGCATGATGTTAAAGGATAAGCAGTCACACAGCATGATGTTAAAGGATAAGCAGTCACACAGCATGATGTTAAAGGATAAGCAGTCACACAGCATGATGTTAAAGGATAAGCAGTCACACAGCATGATGTTAAAGGATAAGCAGTCACACAGCATGATGTTAAAGGATAGCAGTCACACAGCTATGATGTTAAAGGATAAGCAGTCACACAGCATGATGTTAAGGGATAAGCAGTCACACAGCATGATGTTAAAGGATAAGCAGTCACACAGTATGATGTTAAAGGATAAGCAGTCACACAGTATGATGTTAAAGGATAAGCAGTCACACAGTATGATGTTAAAGGATAAGCAGTCACACAGCATGATGTTAAAGGATAAGCAGTCACACAGTATGATGTTAAAGGATAAGCAGTCACACAGTATGATGTTAAAGGATAAGCAGTCACACAGCATGATGTTAAAGGATAAGCAGTCCATGAACTCTGGCATAAGAAGCCATTAGGTCCCAATCATCAGAATAGAAAAACGCAACCATTAAGCATTTCCCAATCGAAATGCAAAAAAAACATTTTCACATTGAGCACACAAAGTAACCGGTGACCTAAAGTTTAAAGTGGAACTGACAGCGTTTTAACTACTTTGCGGATATGAAACAGACAATCA